GCCTCGTCCTATATTTTTTGTTATAAAAATATCCGAATACTATAATAATAAAATATTATTATTATATTACTTTTATTGAAAAAAAAAAAAAAAGTAAAATTTGATTAAAAATTATTGGATGTTTTTAAGTTTTAATGATTCCGGCAGGTACCTGTTTAATCTATTTACGTGAAAAAATCAATAAAAATTCCGTAAAAAACAAAAAAAGAACAAATACATTTATTACTTATCATGATAAACTATAATTTAATTAAATGTGTTGTATTCGATGAAAAATTATTTTGTTTAGAATTCAATTGTATTTAATAAAATAAAGTTCGGGTTGAATTTACAATTTCCGCAAGTTAGTTATAACTTACATAAATATTAGATAATCGTATTATGCTTATTTGAGATAAATTGTCATAATTATTGAATTAGACTGTATGTATTAATTATAACAAAGTTACCATGATTTTATTCAATAAGTAACATATAAAGCTCGAACAAAATTAACTTACTTTTAAAAATTATTAATTTGCTAAACAAATATAACTTTTTACAAAATCTATGCAATTTCAAAACTGATTGACTGCATAAGGGGAATTTTAAAATTAAATTCGTACATTTTCCTTTTCATACGATAGTTAATTTATTACCGAACTTGGATATTATGGTCTGATTATAAGGTACGGTTAATGTGAATAATCTCTTCGATATTTTTCAAAAAAAACTAACAAACCATCGTGTTTTATTGGTCTATAATATATACCGTAAACACTTAAAACTATTTATTTTTTTTTTTAACACACAATTCTGCTCTATATTTTTTGTATTTAAAACATTATATTCTGCAGTGAACGTAAACGTTCTAAATTTGTCTTTTATCTCTAATACCGTGTTGTATTTTATTATAAAAAACAATAATTAAGTTATACGTTACTTTTTTTTAAAATTGTCCAGTTATTTCCAAAATGTAATTTTAACATTTTCTTTTTGGGTTTTTTGAATTTTATTTTCGACAAATATCTCGTAGAAATCATTATCATACAACAAGATGGGCTGCAGCTTATGTAAAGCCATGGGATACCTACCCACGCGAGTATTGAATAATATGTCCAATAAACTATAAATGTTAGACCGTAAGATACATTTTTGCGAGTGTAACGTAAAAGACACATTTAAAAACGTATTTTTTTTATTTTAACTCGATTAAATTATCGTTTTCCTTGACTTTTTGAACTTATTGTTTATAAAATTCCCAGTTTTTTCGACAATGCATAAACGTTCATATTATTTTCTATTAAATATTGTAATATAATTTTTAATTCAAATAATTTATATCGTAAAACGTTTTTTCTTACTGTCATCAAATCCGACTTATAATTATTATTCATGTCCGTCCATTTATATAATCAAATATAGTAAAATTCTTATTGACATAATAATATTAAGTAAACGAAATGTCGACTGCAAACGATTTAAAACGTTTAAATTGCATAAAATAAAAAGAGATATTTGATATTCCTATTCAAATATTGAAGATATATATATGTATATATGTATGAGAATGGATGCATTAAGCTGATTCGCTATATAAATATAATAAACATGCACAATATGCGAATATATAATATTTTCAGTATGCGGCTAAAGCATACGACGTAAATCTACTGATCCTTTTAAAAAAATAATACACATAATATACTCGTACATTTGTACTGGTGATACAAATAATAATATAATTTTAATATAACGTATCTATCTATTTTAAAATACCTTTAATTTTTTTTTTTTTTTTTTTTTTTTTTTTTTTAGTTTGATTAAATTGCGCACAGTAGAGAACCCTCACGATCTTTCTTTGTGTGTACAAACGAAAAATATAGGTACATCCGGCTGAAATATATCGCGTTACCGTATGAGTGAAATTCACTATCGACTACTGCAGTTGGTTGGTGCACTTTTCTTCTTATTTTTCTCGTGAGCTCCGGCATCCAGGTCCAGACCAAGAAAAATCAGACGTCACCTTTTTTCTATCCTTTTGTCACTTCTCTCCAAAAAATGTGTTCGGTTCTCTTGATATCACATCCTCATAGTTATTCCTGAACGTCCGTTTCAAAAAAAGCGAGCAGTGTTTTCTCGCGTTCTGCCCACGGGTCGGTTTCCTTATTTTTTTTCTTACTCTACTATCCGGTCATTGAAACGTATGACTCGGAATTTCCCCGGATTATTATACGCGTTTCTTATACTTGTTATTTTTTATTCTAGCACATCTAATTATATTCAATACTAATTGGGCTTTGTCGTAATGAATGTTGTTCGAAAACTGGATGTATACACTGCAACGTGCCTTTTAGAACCCCGAGGATACGTGGCCTGGCGTATATCGGCATGTTCGGCGCCCGGTTGAAACGGTCCGCGGGCCGTCATCACGTAGACATAAGTAAACGGAAATCTGTTTATACGGTCGCGTACAGTGTACACACAACTACCCGACGTCTTCGCGGACTTCTGTGACGCGAATTTCGGACCGTTTTCGGGTACGAGCGTCGTTCGCCCGCCGCGAAATTAGGTCCGGGGCCGGCGAGCAGGTAACGTAGGTATGTACCTCGGGTATGCGTTCGCGGGCGGTGTCGTCGTCGGTATGGTAAACTGGCAATAATTAAGTTTCGCCGGACTAATTTCCGCGTCGTCGTCAAACGATCGAACCTCATAAATATGCATACGCCCGGCACGGTAAATATAATAATAACGATGTTATCATTATTATTATTATTATTATTATTATTATTATCGGTAGGTGGGTGGGTAGGTACTTTTGAACGCGTATCCGGTACACGCGCTATAGTGATTACGATAAAATGTCCGATTTTCTGCGGCGCGCGTGGCGGGGTAGAGTCATCGGCGACAATGCGCGGCGAGCCGATAGAATAAGCCGGCGAAAAAAAAATACCCAAGATTGTCCGCTGTCGGTACAATAGCTCTAATGCTTTAAAACGTAAATTACCTTAATACTAAATTACTAATAATATTAATGTCGAAACACAATTATTGAAATGGCAGCGGTGATTTTTTTTTTGTTTTAACGTAACGAACAACATACTATTGTTATTATAATATTATTATATATTTGTTTTTTACCGGTTTCTTGTTCATGTATACGAGCCGCCTCGTATCGGACAGCGCTGTTGCGGTGATTCAAATTAATCCTAGCTGTTCTTATAACGACAAGATCACTCTATTTGTTTTCATCACTATTGAAAACGTTACCAGTTTTAATCTTTTCGCCGCCTATCGCTAAATTGAACTCTCTTGCTTTTCTCTGTTTTTAACCGTCACACTTTTCACACCCTTTTTTTTCTTGATATTTCCTTTCTGTAGCAGCCCTGATCGTGTTGTTTTTACCTATTGTTATTATGTAGACCCGCAACCGTTCATCGAAGTCATTGGCCCTTATCACAGTTTGTTATCCGTGCCGATTCCGTCGTATTGCGCAATTATCCGTTGTATCAACTTCGCATTTTCCACATCTACAACGATCATCGTCTCCCTCCGGTATTCGGTCCGAACCGTTCTCGAAACCGGCGGTGAGAAATCGTCCGCGGGAATCGGACGTATTCCGGGATTTCCGCGGACTTTCAATTTGCGACGGCCCGAGTAGAGCCGGCAAACGTGCAATTCGGTGTTAAGCCCGTATTACATTGGCCCCGCGTAAACATAATAATGTATTATTTTCGATGGCCGTCCCGTCGTCGTTATCAGTCGCGGCGTCGTGCGCGCGGTCGGCCGCGGCACCGCGCACTCCGGTCCGTCTCGATCGCGGGGAACACGCCGTTAACGCGCCCCGAGTTTCCTCCCCCGTCGCCGTCACGCCCGGCGTTATTATTCTTCGTGCCCCGCGGTACACCGCCCCGAACTCGCGCGGCGCGGGGCTACGTTGACTTTGCCGCCGAACCGACTGTAATGTATATACACGTTACGCCCTCGTGCTCACGGCGTGTAGACGGGTACCAATATAAATACGCGCCGCGCGCGAGTATACAAAGCGTCGTCCGCGACCTGTGTTCGGGCGCAAAACCGGCGGCGGCTCGGCGGAAACGCCTACAGCCGGCGGCGGTCGTAGCGGCACTTCGCGGCGCGGCCTGAAGACGGAAGGACGCGGGCGTGCGGGCGAGGCGACGTGACGGAAAGTGGAAACCGCGACGGAGGGATTCGACGGCGGCACTCGGAGGGGTGTACGATAAATATATATATATGTATGTATGTATATAATTGTGTGTGTGTGTGCGTGTGTTGATACAGAACACGGTACGAGGCATTGAAGGGGACGGGGCGGGGGGAAAGGATAGGGCACGGGGTTCCGGGGGAAGGTTCAGTTTTGCCACTTAAGCGCGTATCGCGTGCGCGGCTCTCGTTCATTAAATGCGCGGCGCGTTCCTCCGGTTTGTTGTCCGCGGCCGAACGGAGAGAGGACCCGCGGACCGCCGCGGCGGTCCCCAGGACGACGGGGAGCGGTTTTTCTGCAAATACATAGATAACTGACTCGAAAATCCGTATTTGAACTCGTAAGCCCTTTCGCCGCGAGCCGCACACAATCCACGGTCGTCGGCGGCCGCGCGTGTGTTTGTGTGCCCGTAAGTGCCTTCCCCCGTTTGTTTGTACGCCGAGCACTCTTGTCGTCCGCCCGTGTACGTCTCTCCGGCCGATGTCCGACACGCGAATAACGAAAAGAAAACACTATCGATAAAATATTATTGCGTTGTGAAAACCGTTCGTTTTCAACGACGTGCGCGCGTAACGCGTCGTGCTGTTGTTGTCGGGTTCCGCCGAGACGAAACGTAGCGCGCCGAATCTGTCGAGGCCAGATCGACGGTGCTCGTCGCGCGACTCCGCGTCTAAACGTACGGTTTCGAATTTTACGTTATATTCAAATTATCCACGAGTTACTTCGATTATTTCGATAAACGAATTATTAGAAAACTTTTCGCCGTCAATTATTTTCTCGCTTTGTTCCTATATTTATCGTTTCTCGTTTTCGGGGTGACGCGGCTACAATTTCGTTCGAACAAAAACCAAAAGCTCGAAATCGTCACGTCCTGAAAAATCTCGTATACGTATTATGTGAAAATATCAGGTCTTTCGCGTGGTTTTTAAACAAATTGGACGCAATAAAAATCGAAAATAATGAAATCGATATTGTCGTGTATTTACTGAGCGAAATTTCCGACCGAGAAGTCGTACAATGTAAACAGAAAGACGAAAAAACATTTATTGTTACGAAAAATAATATATTTCTCGTTGTAAGCTCGTATACTCCTCGAAATGTAAACAAAAAAAAAAAAAAAAAAAAAAAAAAAAATGGAAATTTCGAACTAACATTAATATGTAACGTGTTAGATGTATCTGGATCTGAAATCAAAGTATACGCACTGTGGTGGCAGTCTGTTGTACCGAATAACGAGCTTGCACCCTGATATCCGGACTGATCACAATTATAAAAACGTACACTGTTGCACTCTTTCCGACGAAAACCCACAAATGTATATTATTATAAACGATAAATCACATGGAATATTAACGAAATGTAAACAAGTATGAAGGTGCGCATAAAGATACTCGACATCAACGCTACCTACAACTGAATTTAAACACCCAATAGCGTTTTAAAAATTTCGTGATAGGGGTTATGAACTCCTTACTCCCCGATCCTTGTATACGTGCCTGCTTATAATAGCGATACCATCGTCTTCTTGTCAAAATATTTTCTCTGCTTAATTCATAAATATAATGTCATTATCCTGCAGATGGACAAATACATCTCTAGGTACCGGCAACCAGTTCGTAGATACATGGCTTCTGATATGTCAAAAACCAAACATTTATGTTTGTGAATATTCGATGAAACATAATAATTGAATCGGTTATTATTTTTGTCTTTTCGAACATTTTTTTTTTTTTTACTATGTCACTGAACTCGGTTTTAATAATGAATATTATATTTTGATTTTAAAATGAATCGATAGGCCGGGTTAGAGTGGAATTTCACGAATGAATTATTCCACACACAGGACACAATTATAATGAATGTACGGTATAATAATAATTATTACTATAATCTGATATTCCACTACGTAAGCGATCCAAAATCCTACAATATTATGTAATTATCTTCGACCACACGCGTGCGTGGGATTATTTGTGAATGGCTTCGTCTGTCCGTCTGATAGCCACACGGTTCGAAAATTATTTAAATTCCGACATTGGAAAATAATGTATACAATATTAAATTTTAATTAAAAATAAACGTTTCACGAACGTATACGACGGACGAAAAATAAATAATAAAAAAGTCCATTTTTTAGTCGCTAAAAAGTAAAAAAAAAAAATAATAATAATAATAATAAGACAACGATTATAATTATTCTTAAGAGGCAGATTTTAATCCACGAGGAGTTTTCTGCGATTTCATTTTTTCATCGTATACAGTACTGTATTAATTAATTATTATTGTAGAAAAAAAAAAAAAAGTTAAATTTCAAATATTCGATTATTTGATATCAACCGCTGTGAAAAAAAAAAAAACGATTAAACCGACAAACCGTTATTATTTTTAAGTCTATTGTTTACGATTCGGTGCGATATTTTTTATTTTATCGCCGATTAACCCTTGATCAGTGATAATTATTAAATATTTTCCAAAATAATTGGGTCGAAAACTATTATTCCGCAACGATAATAATTAATTCGATTACGCGTGTTTAACAAAGATAAGCCTTTTTTTTTTTGATTTTTATGGACGTTAGTAAATAAAGATATATATATATATGTATACAATCGTTCTATTCATATATATATGTACGTAATTAAAACTGTTGATCTCGGTTAAAAAATAAAACGACGTACTCGTTTTTTTCGAGATTTAGACGTCACGAGAAAATATTTCGTCGCATATTCTGCAACAGAACGTACCCGAAACTAAATAGACAGAGATTTTTACCGATATTTACAAAAAACATGCGTTTCCGATTTTATATTATTCGATCATTTTTTTTTTTACACATTTTCAGTGGAACGAGGAATGTATTAGTTTTACAATGATGTTTATTTATTTTACTTATATGCGAACACTTTTTCTGCCAGCCTACTCCGATTGTCAAGTAAAGCACTTTTTCCGAAAAGAAATGTTCTCTGGGTGGTCCTTTGTTGAGGTGATTTTTTAAAATTCTCATTAAAATTCGAAACAATGAGGAAAACCTCCGTCTTGAGGTTAAAATAGACTGACAGATTAAAAATAAGGTTGTCATTGGCGACCGTTTTGTTTGTGTTTTGTTTCTGTTAAATTTGTATTATTTCAATCTTTTTTAAACAATCATTGTTGTCATGGATTCGCACATTTTTACCATAAAAACAACATATACCATATATTGTATTGTAGACAAAGTTCAGAATCGTTTTTTCGTTATCAGTGGTTTATCGCAACACACAGATATGCATTAAATTCCCATTTGTATCCTACCGTCACAACTGTCCACCTAGAACAGTGGCCGCATCCGAGTGCGAAGTATGTCCGTCCTTTTTTCCGTTACGGCTACACGGTTTATCACGATAATATTATATTAATACCGCTCGTGTCAAACTCGGCATCCGCGTACGATATTGTTATCTTAGCCAAAAGTACACGCTATCCGCAACGTGAGCAACGATATTTTTACGGCGATAAAATCATTATAGAACTCGCTGTAATTTTTTTTTTTTTTTTTAAATTAATACTGTTCATGGGATTTTCGGGAGAAATGTTACGGATTCGATCTCGCGGTTTAGTGCAACAGCATTGTGTAACTTTATTATATATTACGAAGTTAAACTTTCCGCAAACAACCTGTATAAGCCCGTAGGTATACATTGTCTCCTGTGATATTCAAAATCATAATAATAGGAAAACAATTGAAAATCCGGGCGTAGGTAATCAATCACGAAATTAACGACGATGATCAATAATACTATTATTATACATTACCGTATAGTCGATTTGACAGCTATTCTCGTGGTTGTATTGAATAAAATAAAAAAAAAAACCCCCCGGTTATTCGCACGCATTTCGCAAATTCTGTTATACACTATGATATTGTTTTTTTTTTTTTTTTCCTCTCGGGAAATCGCCTTTTCGGTTAGTTAAATCGTTCATATTTGTTCACGCGATCCCGTGTTATAACTGCGAGACGAGAGATTATCGGTCGGCGGTGCATTATTAAAAACAAATTTTTAGATTCTGAAAATTTAAAAAAAAACAACAACGAGAGATCGATAGGTTCTATCTTTAATGGACGTTTTGGCTACAAGCGATAAAACACGATACGATAAAGTATACGCTCCAATTTAATCTTAACAATTCTCCGAGCACTGTTGTCTGCTCGGAATGATTCAAGCGCCGCCTTCGGTATACATAATAAACTAAATTACCCTTTAACCAACACCAACTCAACCCATTCGCCTGCGACCGCAGCACGATGCGAAATATAATATGCCTGTGGACCTTCATATACTGCCGATTGGATAAACGTAAAGGTGTAGTAGTCAGTTTTTCGGCAGTATCTAGTTGACAATTCGCGGTGAACTTCTGTTTTAATTTGCTATTAACCGCGATTAAAAAAGTGCTTTCGTTTAATTTTATTCGAAAATAAATATTAGGGTACTGTATTGTGTTTAATGCTGTTATATTGTTTCTATTATCTAAACCATGCACACATAGTTTTCCTGCTGAATTTCGACGAATTTATCGGCTTCCTATGGTCATCGAAATCGGAAATTTGAGTGGTTTATTTGCGGATTGAAGTAATCGGATTCGGTATATTCTATTACTTCAACCACTTTAAAATTAATTGTGATTCATCGTGTATTTTAGGAATTAATGGATACAAGTTACTATAATAAAAGTTTTATACGATAAAACCACGGGTATCGTATTAAATGTTTGACATGGCTTCAACCGAAATCATAATTGTTGTGATATGGCCTTTGGCCACCTAGTTGATTGTACACCATCCGTGCCTAACTCATAAAAAAGCCGAAAATAAATTAACCTAACCGTATTTCGGCCGAAAAACAAATCGAAAGAAAATAATTTTTACCAAACAGCATTTACGAGTCGTCTTTTTAGCTTTAGCACAATCTGTCTACTAATATGGTTCGTTGATGTCGGGTAGTACATATGCTAGCCATATTGATGTCTTAAATATTACTGTTAATTCTTTAATTGAAATTAATTAAAATAAAACTAGATTATATTCTGATCTTAATGTTCGAAATTTTAATGTGCAACGCGAACGTCAAACTCTATTATTAACGTTTGAAATTAAATATTTTATAATTAATAATCGACCATCTCACTCTTAAAATTCAAGATCAAAAATCGATAAAAGTCTTAGTGTGCCTTCGGAAACAAACAAATTTGGGAATTACAGCACTGTATTTATGAGGGTTTTATTATTACGTAAACTTAAGATAAATGTCATCTCTTTTACTAATTGTAAGCATTATAAAAATCATGTATTTAGTTAAACTTTCTGATTCTGTATTTAATTTAAGTTTTATGTTGTTGTTTGATTTTATTAACGTTAATTAATTTATGAACTCAAGTCGTCCGACACAAACTCCGCTTATAGGATGAATTTGTAACTTTATGTTACTTTCTTACTGTTTTTACTTTATTCTGTAATTTCGGTTGCTTCAATATATTATTATTATTATAAGGACAATTATTTTTCTGAAAAATAATATAGCCGACCGTAAAAAAACCGAACAAATAATTTGTGATAAAGGTCGGTTATAATCGAGATAATCCGCGGTTAATACCCTCCGGTGGCGACCGTTGACCGAATGCAGTTGTCGGATTCCGTTTTGAATTTTTGTTCGAGATATCGACGTTATTACAGCGTCGACTAGTTTTACGTTTTCCGATAAAAAAAATAAAAATCCAGCCGCAATCATCCGAAAATACGTACAATTTATACGGTTCGGTTTTTCGTTATAGCCCCTCTCCCCCTATTATACGTGTAAAAGCAAAAATTTCGACCGTTCCTATAAGTGGCGTAACTAGGGACTTATTTTTGGAGGTGATTTGAGATTTGTCGTTAATTATACAAGAAGAATTATTGAAAAAAAAAAAAAAAGGACGGACATCCTTCGCACGCGGGTGCAGCAACTGTTGTAGGGGGGAAGTCGTGAAGGTAGGTTTCGCACGGGATTTTAATATATATCTA